TGACACCGGCGGATGGTTAACAATTCTATTTCAGAGTGAATGGATATAGCTTAATCACCTGACTATGCCGCAAATCTAGACATTAGATTCGCCGGAGTCTGTATAGAGCTTTCCTTTTTTGTGTCCATAAGCAAGAGCTCCAGCTTTTGTCGTGAGAGGTAAGTTTGTTGCGTCTCCAAGCGCACACTGTTCAGCATTTGCGATTGTTCCGAATGCTGCGAGTGCTGGAAAGCCTACAGGAAACATCCAAACCAAACCCTTTGCAGGATCAGATATATGTTGGACATTAAATGCGCAGAGCAAGTGGTAGCTGCGGCAGGGACGCAATGCGTGTCATATGGGTTTGATTGTGCCGTATAGCTTCCGCAACGAGGGCGTGCGACGAGACAGCATGTCTGTCGTCTTCCGCCTGTCAATTCCAGCCTTTCTTATGAAACTCGGGGGCGCAATCTTTGCACGACGGGTTTTCGGCAAAAAGAAAGGTAGACCCGGAGGGGTAGGCCAGTTTCGTCCATATGCAACTGTTGCATTCACGCGAAACTGGCTTACCCCTCGGGATCCACCTTTCTTTTCGCCGAAGAATCCAAATATTCTCGACATACTGCTGAAGCCCAGACGTCTTTGCAGGATCAGTGGAATGTTACCTCATCGTCTCTCTGCGCATCGCATCCATCTCCAGAATTCTGCTTCAATCACTTTCGAGCGCGCTTTAAATTTTCCATCATTGTTATTTGGACCCATATTCGGGATACAGCAATTCCCTAACAAAAACTACAATGCTTTCAGTATTGTCCGAAATTTGTGTCCACGCGTGAGTGAACGAGCTTCGTGAAAACGGCGGAAATTGATTGCCGAACAGAACAGCATACTTTTGATTGGCGTGATTGCATTTCTCCACGCACTGTAAGAACAAGATACTTTAGTACTTCCTTCTCTGTACACCCGTTAAGTGTAACTAATGTTACCTACATTAAATTAGATACAGATTTTCGCGCTCTTCGAAGTCATTGTAATGGTACTAACAATATTAAAAGGTAACATCATTTTATGTTCATCCACCCCAAAAATCGCTTTTCAGAAACGATTCATGTAAGTAACATTATTTTCGATAATGAAGTCAAGCAGAGATCATGAACACTGTGGCCTAGTGGTTAAGGGCTACTGTATACATCATGGTCGAATGCGTGGGTTCGATTCCCACCGTGGCACAGGAGCGTGAACTAAAATCGCATTTCAGCGAGTCAGTCCGGACAAGGTGTTGGCATACGGAGTTGGACTTTTATTCGACGAATCACATTGATTACATTTGGAGGGTATATCCTCCGCACCCTGGCAGTATGTAATATCCAGCATGGTCAACGCCCGACGAGAGTTTAAGTCCTAACGTCACTCGATCCAGCGCATTCTGTATCGTCCGAATGTCAACACCGGGAATGCTGCAAGCAGGAACGGACTGGTGGTTCGTGTCACAAGTTTATATTTTTTGCTCATAAAATTAGCTAAGTCATTTCATGACACATTTCATCATGCAGAGACGCTCTCCCTAATTTCTACAAAAGAATGTGGATCTTGTCCATCGAAATTCTCGCGATACTTGCTGACGATATTTTGCAAGTGCGGAAAAATTGACGAATCTCCCAAAGGCTGTTGCTTTGTTTGGCCAGTCTGCATCGTATCATTGCTTTCCTCGCATATGTGAAGCCTTCGTAATCGCGCTGACGGTTAACTTCCCTCACGACTTTGGCCGCCAGCTGAAGAAAGGACCGTTTACCCGGATTTCGGAGGAGCCCCGACGAGCTGCCGTAAGTCCTTTCATTGTCTTGGTTCCGCAATAGAGCTGCGTTGTACTCGTCCCATAGTTTGCTCCAAACCGCTTTCAACTTTTGACTAAGAAACGAATTGGCCGGCCGAAACAAATCGGTTGCGATTGCTGGGAAGAATCTTATCGTCGTGTTGATTTCTTGGGGCGCCTTTTCAAGCTGTGAAGTTATGGCGTGACCTTCACAGTTGTCCATAAACAGAACCCTCTGGCGGCCGTTAGCAAGCGGGCCAATGGCGCGTCTCTCGCGCAACCACAAGTTCATAATTCGCCTATCCATCCATCCCTTAGGGCCAGTCCGATAGCTGACTCCCGGCACATAATCTAGTACTCCCCCGATCGGATAGTTGCTGTCCCTGTTCTTAAAAACGAGAAAAGGCATCTCAATCACCGCGTCGGGGCCGCCAGAAATTCGTACCATCAACGTCATTCCCTCCCCTCCGGACGTTACGTCGTCATATTTGACATGCTCGTCGCCATGGAAGCCTAAAGTACGACCATTATCCATATTGGAAAGAAAATGCGTCTCATCAGCATTTTCCACATTGCACTCATCCAGTTGCCCCGATTGAAACTCTTTCGCAATGGCGCCAAGAAAATATACAACCCTTCGATCAATCTTTTCTTGCCCCTCTGGTGAGATCTAGAGTTTACCTGTCTGCCGGCGTGTTACAATGCTATAACGATTCATGAACCTCTGAGTCCAAGAGGGTGTGATGAGATCCTTGATCAACTTCTCATCTCGCCCACTTCGCATCTCGTTGTGATATTCCTCCTTTTCAGAATGCGCAATGAGGTCCTTCGCAAACAGGCTCACAGTGTTGACTGAAAACTTGATACCGAGCTTTCGAAGCCGCGCAAAGTCGTCAACCAGGTCATCTTGCAGCGTCTGGACCCACACCGAACGCTTTCGTCCTCGTCCGGCTCTAGCTTTCGTAAAAGGCCGTCCCTGCCCTTGCTTCGTTACTGCAGAAACGGAAAGTGCGGTAGCACTGTTTCGACCTCCGCAGGGAGCCAGATCTGCTACGAAATCCACGCTCTCCTCCCACAGCCTTTTTGCACGCATGCAGTTTGCCGAATGTACAGATCGGAAGAACTGGGGGATTTGCTGATGGCCTTGGTCTGCATACGTTTATCGTTTCCGCAGCGTTCCCTTTCTGCAATCGTCCAACGCGAGATCGTAGCTCTCTCGTGAAGAGAAAGGACATTGTGCTTGGTGTGCTGGTGAGCAGGTCGCCTTAGGTCGTCGTCCGTAATGGCTCCTGAAGAAGACTGAATGTTCGGTTCTTGTGTTTGGACGGCGTGGTGTTGATATAACGGCGGCGGAATAGGTGTGTTTGTAGTCTGCGGACGTGTCGAACGAGTTGCGGTAGCATTGGATAGAAAGTTAACAATGGGGGAGCCTGAAATGGGCATGTTGATGATCAAGGTTGGAATGGACGAAGGCAATGGGGGTGGTGTTGTACGAACTAGACTTGTTGCCGCCAATAGAGCTGCAGTTCTATATCACATGTGATATCAGCGACGGAGGCCGCCGGTGAAATGTAACATTAATAACAGATACCACAGAAATATTGTTGGTAACATTAAATAATTTGCGAGGAGAATGATGACTTGCATTGATAATGTTACAAACATTATTTGGAAGTAACATTAATATTTTGGTAACATTAGTTACAGTTAACGGGTGTAGTGGGCATATAAGTCCCCCGAAGGCCCCGAGTATAGGGCGTCGGAGGATGAACGTAAGGGAAGACATACCGTAACTATCGAGCCGTTCACGGACTCCTGTACAGTGCAGGACTGCCGGTCGTCGGCAGTTTTCCCTCGTTTTTAGTGACAAATTCCACAGGCTGAGAAGTGTGCAGTTGCTCACACGAATTCTGAAACATTTTGAAGACAAATGTCTTCCTTTTTCTGGAGAACAGCAGTGTTTGTGAAAACCGCAGATGGAACTGACTCCTCGTCCGCCTCAGACCACCAACATCCTCTCTGTCCCGCCCCCTGGAAGTCTCTTCCCCTACATTCCCCCTCCCTTCTTGCTCCCTGCCGGCTCCACTCACGTTCGCTTGTCCGTTTTACATCTTCGTGATCGAAATTGCGGACAAACTCTCTCTTCACACACGTGTACTAAAATTTTGGCAGAATTCTTGCTCACGTGGTGCAGGCGTATTCTCTCTAACGACCGAGGTGAATTCCGCTGGGACAAGGCCTTTGTACAGTACAATACAGGGGGCGGGGGGGTCGCGATATAGTGCTACCCTGTGCCAGTGGGCTGAAAACGGCATTATATGGAACCAGGCACTATATAATGAGATTCACGGCTTTTTTGCGGCCACTTTCATACATCACTGCTCAGAAAGACGGCTCGCAGGGTGCCATACTCGTACTTTGCATCTTCACTGAAGACTCAAGCTTAATCACGGGCCTGAAGAGAATCATCCCGGACTTAGGAACGGGCCTCATCCCGGACTTAGGAACGGGCCTGATGCATTTCTGTTAATATACCTTCGGTAGCTGCCCAGCCGTCGCATTGACTTTCTCCTTCTTCGCAGCCGTAAATGCCAGCCTACACTTTTGCAGATGTCCAATTGCATCATCGACCCTGCCTTTTTCCCCCATAGTCTCCATTCGAGTTAGCAACTGCATAATATCTTTCCGCGGCCGGCAGCGGCTCTCGGACAGTATGTTCATCCAACTGCCTCTCTGGAGACCTTTCGTTTTTGGCTCAAAATTCGTGCCACCCGCAGAAGGGTAGCACTATATCGGAGCTGGCACTAACAAAGATGGCACTATATCGCGACCCCCCCTGTATATACATTTGTGAAAAGGATTCGGGGTATGCCAGGCGATGTGATTCGGGTGCGTCCCATCGGCAAAAACGCTCCGATCAGGCTCAAAGTTCCTGACGGCCACGTGTGGCTCGAAGGGGACAACCGTAATCAATCCACAGATTTGAGACATTACGGTCCAGTCCCACTTGCGCTTGTCAAGAGTACAGCGAGATTTCGCTTTTGGCCCCCCTCACAGGCGGGCCGTCGTCCTGCTGATTTTGCAGCTGGCGACCCCACATTTATCGAAAGTCAGTCCACCACAGATGAAGCATGTGCCGTGTTGCAAATATGTGACCGAATAGCTCCGATTACCAAAGTATTGAATCCTCCCAGCATACCCACTCCCCTCACAAGTGTTCATATTGTCTTGTAACCTCGGTGCTCTTCTCCTGCAGCAAGTTTGCAGAAAACATGATCTTTCGATACAGCCACGAGGACGCCTGCTCTGCGCACGATGTCAGCTGCTCAGAGCAGCTTCCGACCTCGGCGACGCCCTCCGGCGCTTCCGGGCACTCCCTGCCCTGGTACACGAAGGGGACCGGGATGCGAGCCGACCTCCCCACTTCATAAATCGAGCCGAGCATGAGGCGCCATAAATCCAGTAGCAAGGTGACGATAGCGGTGGCCGCAAGCGCGTTTGTGGCGGCGCCACGTACCGATGTGCGCGGGGCGACGCCTTCGTCCAAGCTGAAGAACATGGGAAAGCCGATGACAAAGTATAGGCCGTACACAACAGAGCCGACGACCATGAAGGCCTCCGTCTCTGTGTAGGTGTAGAGAGGAAAGTGCTGGATAGACACGGCCTCGAAGACGGCCGTGCCATATGCAAGGGCGGCGATGTTCGCCCACCAAATCAAGTTGCGAGCAAAGGAAGGAAACGTAGCGGAAAAGCGGGCGACGCGACGCAGGATGAGATTGACAAAGTTGAAGTAGAAGGTGAAGTAGAAGAATGTGGCGGTAAAGGTGACCAACGGGACGTCATTGAATCGGTAGGAGTCGAACAAGTACTTTGCGCCAAGGAGCTCATAAAAGTAGTGGGTCCAGAAGTAGTTACCGTAAAAGCCGAAGATAGCGATCCAGACTGTGGCCTTGACCCAGAAGCGTTGGGCGTACGGGCGGCCGCAGTCGGCGGGGCACGGGAAGAAGACAGGGATAAAGATGCCCGGAAGGCAAGCGAGGACGGTGATGAGGAGGTAGGAGTTGCGGTCGCAGTACTTGTAGAGCGGGGTGCCGAGGACGCCGACAAGGAGAACGAGCATGGAGATGGGAGCCCAGACGAGGGAGAGCTTTTCGTAGTAGGCTTTGGAAGGGTCCGCGGCGAACCAGGACGGGGTCGAGGACCTCGGGGGCTCCGCTTTTTCCATAGTTGGTTCCATGGTGTGGGAGGGGAAGGTGGTGAAAGGCAAGAAGGTCGATGGTCTGGATAAAGAGAAGAAAGGGAAAGTTAATCGGCCCTGGAGCGCGAATGCGTGTTTCGGGCAGGACGCCGCGGATCAACTAAGCAGAGATGGATGAATTGGGAAAAAATGGGAAAAAAATGGGAAACTTGAATTTGAATTAACGAAATCAAAAAGTGCCAGCTGTGCACGTGGAGATGCATGGAGGAAACTTTACGCCAAGGGGACTTGACCTAGTCATCAGCCTGCCCTCAGCGCACCTCCTTCTCAATCAACTAAAGTTAATGAGTAAAGAGCAGGTGTTGACATCTCACATCGCTGACATCAGCGACGTCAGTGACCCCAGCGGAGAATAAAGTGTACGTAATTGTGTAACGAAATTTTATTTCAAACGGACCGTGTGAGACAAGCAAACTAGTGTACAGTATGAGGGGCGTCAACCACGCTCTACTAGCGAAAGCCCGGCTCTCCCCTCCTTCAAACACGCGGGACTCCTCTATCTCCTCGCCACGAGCGGCTGCTCGACCGGCCTGAGATGCCTGGGCACATACTTTCTGCACTGATAGTCAGCAACGAAGGGTTTTCTGGACAGCTCATCCAGCAGGTTAGTCTTAAAATAGATGAAGACATCAGCCACAAAGGCACGGTCGGCACAGTTTGCTACCTTGCCGACCTTTCTCGAGTAGTTAACGCCGACATTTTCTAAATGGTCCAAGTCAGCCAACGTGGCGTCATCCACAGCATAGACTTCACCTTTGACCCTGGCGCCTCTCTTGGGGATGTCTAACAAATACGGTGAGTTATATCTCCCTCCAACGACCAGAGGGTACTTTGTCTGGGTTCTAAAATTTCCAATGAAGGTAGCCCTGTCCAAAAAGGAGGCGTTGGCAAACCCTTTCTTCAGCGTTCCGTACACGAAGACATAATGACGATTTGCCTTGGCTATCTGCGAGATGGAGGCCGGTTGAAGCGGGTTTGAAGAGCGGGTAGGGACGCGGACGGACGGATACTCAAAAGCGCTATACTGAGAGCCGTTGCGCTGCGAGCGTTCTAGGCTGTGCGAGTCCGAGGCGGGACTGACGGGGGCGGTTTGCACGGCCGACGGCGAGCGCGGATGTGCCGGGGGCTTGCGGCGGGGGGTGCGGGACGGCATGGCGGGGGTGAAGGCAGAAGCGCGGGCCGTGACGATGGGCGGGGCGAGGAAGGCCGTGCGGAACGAAATTGTTGCGGTTGATGACATGGGAGCGGGTGGGGTTTTATACTTGGGGATTAGGGGGGGGGCGAAGGGGGGGTTGGTTGTTGCGAGGGTAAACGAGGGCAAGGCGTGTCGGTGCGCAAGTGGGATGGAGTCAGGTGACGTGGACAGAGGGCGCGTCTAAAGCGGCGAAAAGGGAGCGAACGTTTTAAATAGGCGAGCTCATCCATCAAGGCAGCTCGCAGAAGGCGATGCGCGCAGTTGATGGCTGCAGTGCCGAGATGGCGCAAGTCCCTTGGGCCATCACGGGGCCATCACGCACGTTGCCGGGCATGTGCAGCGCCTCATGTGTGGCGCGCGGACCCACGCGGCCGGACACACGCGGCCCGCGCCCACCGCGCACGACCTCCACTGCGCCTCCCTCTTACACCTCGTTCTTACACCGCACTTGCCCTGTGGCTACCGGGCGGCGCGCTTGGCGCTCCCGCACCAGCCAGCGCCAGCGGATGCGCCCCACCCGCCTCTGCCCTCCTCCTCCGTCACGCACACGCGTCACCGCCCCGCCCCCGTCACTTCCTGGCCCGACAGATTGCGCAAC